ATTGTTCCCTCATGGTATTTGACCCTTTTTTGTTTTTGTCATGGTTTGTGACCTTTATTGTTCCCAACCCTTTTATGGCCTTTATTTATCCCCTCCAGGGGGTTGTTCCACTCTGGTATTGTTCCACTCCGGGATTCCACCATGGGGATTGCTTCACTCATGGTATTGTTCCATCATGGTTTGTTTTAGCCATGGGGATGTTCCACTCATGGTATTGTTCCACTCATGTTATTGTTCCAGTCACGGATTGTTCCACCCCCGTATTGTTCCGTCCCAAATATTGTTCCAGTCAAGTATTGTTCCAGCACAGTATTGTTCCGTCACAGTATTGTCCCGTCACAGTATTGTTCCAGCCACGATTGTTCCAGCCACAGTATTGTTCCAGCCCCAGTATTTTTCCAGCCAAAAGTATTTTCCAGCCCAGTATTGTTCCACCCAAATATTGTTTCCCGCCACGTATTGTTTCCCAACCACAGATTGTTCCAGTCCCGTTTGTTTCCAACCACGTATTGTTCCAGTCACAGTATTGTTCCATCACGTATTGTTCCCGTCACAGTTTGTTCCAGTCACGATTGTTCCACCACAGTATTGTTCCAAAACCCCGTATTGTTCCAGTCCAGTATTGTTCCCGTCACAGTATTGTTCCAGTACATATTGTTTCCGCCAGTATTTTCCAGTCACAGTATTGTTCCAGTCCGTATTGTTCCAACCACAGTTTGTTCCAGCAAAAGTATTTTTCCAGTCACGTATTTTTCCAACCACAGTATTGTTCCAAAACCCCGTATTGTTCCCCTCACAGTATTCCGTCACAGTATTGTTCCAACCACGTATTGTTTTAGTCACAGTTTGTTCCCGTCACAGTATTGTTCCAGTCACAGTATTGTTCCAGTCACGTATTGTTCAGTCTCAGTATTGTTCCAGTCTCAGTTTGTTCCCGTCCATATTGTTCCGTCACAGTTTGTTCCAGTCACATATTGTTCCAGTCCGTATTGTTCCCGTTAAGTATTGTTCCAGTCTCAGTATTGTTCCCGTCACAGTATTGTCCCCTCTCAGATTGTTCTTTACAGTATTGTTCGACAGTTTGTTCCAGTACATATTGTTCCCGTCCGTATTGTTCCAGTCCATATTGTTCCAGTCTCAGTATTGTTCCACAGTATTGTTCCACAGTATTGTTCCAGTCACAGTATTGTTCCAGTCACAGTATTGTTCCAGTCATGGTATTACTTTTATATCTTTACCATTTACAGTCATGGAATCAAAGTGAAGTCCATGACTTGAGTTATCAGTAGTATCAGTTATCAGTAGTATCAGTTGTCAGTAGTATCAGTTGTCAGTAGTATCAGTTGTCCAGTAGTATTAGTTATCATTAGTATCAGTTGTCAGTATTTTTCCAGTTGTCAGTAGTTATCAGTTTATCATTAGTATCAGTTGTCAGTAGTATCAGTTGTCAGTAGTATCAGTTGTCAGTAGTATCAGTTATCAGTAGTATCAGTTGTCAGTAGTATTAGTTATCAGTAGTATCAGTTGTCAGTAATATCAGTTGTCGGTAGTATCGTTATCAGTAGTATCAGTTATCAGTAGTATCAGTTGTCAGTAGTATCAGTTATCAGTAGTATCAGTTGTCAGTAGTATCAGTTATCAGTAGTATCAGTTGTCAGTAGTATTAGTTATCAGTAGTTTTAGTTATCAGTAATATCAGTGTCGGTAGTATCGTTATCAGTAGTATCAGTTATCAGTAGTATCAGTTATCAGTAGTATCGGTTATCAGTAATATCAGTTATCAGTAGTATTAGTTATCAGTAGTATCAGTTGTCGGTAGTATCGGTTATCAGTAGTATCAGTTATCAGTAGTATCAGTTATCAGTAGTATCAGTTATCAGTAATATCAGTTATCAGTAGTATTAGTTATCAGTAGTATCAGTTATCAGTAGTATCAGTTATCAGTAGTATTAGTTATCAGTAATATCAGTTATCAGTAGTATTAGTTATCAGTAGTATCAGTTATCAGTAGTATCAGTAATATCAGTTATCAGTAGTATTAGTTATCAGTAATATCAGTTGTCGGTAGTATCGGTTATCAGTAGTATCAGTTATCAGTAGTATCAGTTATCAGTAGTATCGGTTATCAGTAGTATCAGTTATCAGTAGTATGAGGCATGTACTACTGATAACACTACTAACAGCTCAGCGACGGTAATGTACGGCGTCCCGACATGCAGCTGATACAAACTAGAGGCCAGAGACGTACGGCTCTGGGCTGCTGATCCTATACAATGTCAAAGCACACATCAGTTGACCATTATGCCTGGCACTACTGATATAGTTTTTTCCATCTCCAGACGTGGCACTGGAGATGAGAATCTGGAGAGATGCTTCATTTTATTTTGCAAGTTTATTTAGGTATACGAATACAGTTACATAGATTATCATACATAGCAGCATATAAGAATATAATGAAGGAACACTGCAGCAGGCCTACTGGCCCATGCGAGGCAGGTCCAATTCTCCTACCGGCTTAAGCCAACGTACTAATCTAGTCAGGTCACGTCACATTCACTTAAGGAGCACAGCATCTGGCCTAGTAGCACAAGTTAGTCAGGTCCAACTCACACCCACTCATACCCACTCATGAAGAGAACCTGGAATAACCCAGAAAAGTCAAAGTGACTTGTTTCCATTGGGGTCGTTTAAACAAATCTGTAGCAGCGGTAGGTTTCAGGTGAGGGTTGAGTCCTGGTCGCTGGTACACACTGGTCCGGCCGTGGCATGTGTCGGGGCACTGTACCGTCGCTCGGTTGGCAGCGCACTCGCCCCACACTCTGAAGTCAATGGTTCAACACTAACAGCTACCCATCTGTAATAACAGAAACACCAACAACAGCACCACCACTAACAATAACAATAACACCACAATCACCAATAACAAACAACAACAACAACAACAGTAACAGAGGCTCAATTATACTAACACGATCATTAAAAAAATAACAGTTTACCTTTAATAATAATGATAGACTTAATAATTACACTGCTCTCTGTATCACACGTCGTACATGCAAATTAACTTGCATGCCTTGTTAACTAAATTGTTGTAATGGCTCCGCTAGTCTGGTTATATTCCTAAGTATACCAGTTTGCCAGAATAATCGTACTGCTAGTTCTACCTAATTACTGTACAAATTTAGCACACAGTACTTCGAGAAACTGTCTTAACTTTCTGCTTATCTCTACGTACACACTGTCTCTACGTACACACTGTCTCTACCTACAAATTGCTATCTACTTAGAATTTATCTCTGCGTACAAATTGTCTTCACGTATCTCTATGTTAGTCTTCCTTCTGTAGAGACTAAGTTAATCTTCTTGTTTCGTATTCCTTATTATCGTTATTTTCGTCTTCCTCATAAACGTACAAATTAATTTTTAAGGATCCTGTACTCTACGGAAATAATCCAGGTATTTTACGAGTCTCGTGTCACAAGGTCCTGTTAGTCACGAGGTCCTGTTAGTCACGAGGTCCTGTTAGTCACGAGGTCCTGTTAGTCACGAGGTCCTGTTAGCCACAAGGTCCTGTTAGCCACGAGGTCCTGTTAGTCACAAGGTCCTGTTAGTCACAAGGTCCTGTTAGTCACAAGATCCTGTTAGTCACAAGATCCTGTTAGTCACAAGATCCTGTTAGTCGCATGGTCCTGTGTGTCATAATGTCCAAAGGCATAGACACGGGGGGTCATCCCGCAGCCACTAAAAACAACGGAGGTAGCCCCACTGCACAAATGTGGCAGTACAGCAATTGCAAAGAATTACAGACCGATTGCACTAACGTCCCACATTATAAATTTGAATTGATTCTAAGAAGAGAGGTCGCTAGCCACTTGATACCCAGCAGTTGCACAACCCAGGGCAGCGTGGGTCAGAGCTGGTCACTCCTGCCTCACAAAACTACTGGACAGTTATGACATGGTCTTGGATACACTACAGGACAAAGTGGATAGATGGATCTATAACTCTTTAACCAATACAACACCAAGAGTAATAGTAAACAGATTTAGTAAGGGTGGCTACAGCGAAAAGCTCTGTTCCACGAGGCACAGTACTCGCTCGCAGTGTTCCACAAGGTACAGTACTCGCTCCCAGTGTTCCACAAGGTACAGTACTAGCTCCCAGTGTTCCACAAGGCACAGTACTCGCTCCCAGTGTTCCACAAGGCACAGTACTTTACTCTCCAGTGTTCCACAAGGCACAGTACTCGCTCCCAGTGTTCCACAAGGTACAGTACTAGCTCCCAGTGTTCCACAAGGTACAGTACTAGCTCGCAGTGTTCCACAAGGCACAGTACTCGCTCCCAGTTCCACAAGGCACAGTACTCACCTCCAGTCTTCCAAAAGGCACAGTACTCGCTCCCAGTGTTCCACAAGGTACAGTACTCGCTCTCAGTGTTCCACAAAGTACAGTACTCGCTCCCATCCTGTTTCTCCTCATATCTGACATAAACAGAGATGTAAGCCATAGCACCGTGTCTTCTCTGTTCTCATACTCCTGTGTGGGGTACGGGAGCACCATTGTGGTTGGTATACAACAAGAAAGACAAAATGGGGAATATAATAGCTGAAAGTCACGTCAAATCGATACCAACACATCTAGTGCCTAAGAACAATCAATCACGTTTAGTGGCTGGCTGTTTCACAATACACTTTGTGAAACCGTTGGAATCACATAATATAGAATCAAATTACTTGTCAACCTACTAAAGGAAGATCTTAGAAGCCTGCCCGGCGCCTAAGCTCTAGAAATATGCGTTAGCTCGTATCTTCCTGTAAATGTGAGAGTTCAGCTGAGATAATCCATGTCAAGATGGCCCGCGTATATCTTCATTGTTGTAATTGGTAATTCCTGAATATTCTTTGCGATCGATATGGCAATTAGATCGTCGGAATATGTATTACTTAAGCCAGTCAGCGGTTGTAACCAATAATAATGATAATTCCTGTCTCTCTCTTCAGATGACCAACGTGAGCCAGAGGGTGGAGAATGTTGAGGGTGACGTGGGCGTGAACATGGAGGTGGTGGGCGTGGGACGTGAGGGCGTGGTGGAGAGCATGGTGGAGAGGACTGTGAGTTCTGATATACAATACATGGGAAATATCGCCTACAGTTTGGTAGCTCCTCTTATCATCTCCTTCGGTATCTTTACCAACGTGTTGAACCTGGTGGTCCTGACCAGGCCTACCCTCCGGGGACCTACTTTCAGGTAGGCCTAACCCCTGGGTTTCCCTCAGGGGGTCCCAGCTTCAGGTAGGTCCTATTCTGGGTCTCCCTCCCTCTCTAGGTAAGTCCTATCCAGGGTCTCCTTCAGGGGGTTCCAACCTTCAAGTAGGTCCTATCTTGGATTTCCCTCAGGGGTCCTATCTTGGATCTCCCTCGGGAGTCCTATCTTGGATCTCCCTCAGGGATTCTACCTTGGATCTCCCTCAGGGATTCTACCTTGGATCTCCCTCAGGGATTCTACCTTGGATCTCCCTCAGGGATTCTACCTTGGATCTCCCTCAGGGGTTCTACCTTGGATCTCCCTCAGGGGTCCTATCTTGGATCTCCCTCAGGGGTCCTATCTTGGATCTCCCACAGGGGTTCTATCTTAGATCTCCCTCAGGGGTCCTAACTTGAATCTCCCTCAGGGGTCCTATCTTGGATCTCCCTCAGGGATTCTACCTTGGATCTCCCTCAGGGATTCTACCTTGGATCTCCCTCAGGGATTCTACCTTGGATCTCCCTCAGGGATTCTACCTTGGATCTCCCTCAGGGGTTCTACCTTGGATCTCACTCAGGGGTCCTATTTTGGATCTCCCACAGGGGTTCTATCTTAGATCTCCCTCAGGGGTTCTATCTTAGATCTCCCTCAGGGGTCCTAACTTGAATCTCCCTCAGGGATTCTAGCAGTAGTTTCCAGTCTTTGTTTACCTTCCCGAGGTTCCATAACCTTCCATGTACTGGACATAAATACGATAACCACTTGACACCCAATCCTGCAGCTGGAATAACCAGCAATTCCCTAGTAATTGCTGGTTAGATACAGCCTGTCTTAATAATAATAATAATAATAATAATAATAATAATAATAATAATAATAATAATAATAATCTTTATTTCCACAAGTACATGATACAACTTGTACAAGAATCGTATACAATACCGACAAGGTGAAGATTTAGACACATATGCAACATCTGGGTATCTTTATTGTAGACGTTTCGCCATCCAGTGGCTTTATCAATACAGATTTTAGGACGTAATTTGAAGACAGAACTGTATATAGAAGGTGAGGTAATCAGTCCCTCAGCCTTGTAGGTGGTGTGAAGAGCACCGTAGTCGTGGAGATTCTGGCACGAATCTACAAGACTACGGTGCTCTTCGCCATCTCCAAGACTGAGGGACTGATTACCTCATCTTCTGTATACAGTTCTACTGTCTTCACGTTATGTCCTTGTATTGATAAAGCCACTGGTGGGCCAAACGTCTACGATAAAGATACCCAGATGTTGTACATGTGTCTAAATCTTTATGATACAATTTCTGCAGACCATAGCTGACATGACAATACTAACAAGAACACTAACATACCTGACAATACTAACAAGAACACTAACAATACTAACAAGAACACTAACAATACTAACAAGAACACTAACATACCTGACAATAATAACAAGAACACTAACAATACTAACAGAACATAACAATACTAACACAGAACACTAACATATAACATAACAACCTAACAAACTAACAATAACAACCTAACAATACTAACAAGAACACTATACAATAAAATTCTCTAACAATCTAACAGAACACTAACTCTCCTGAGGAGCTATTTCCCATAAAGTTCTATTTTTAACAAGTGTGTACACTAACTAGGCTTAGATTAAAAAAAAAAGTAAACAAAACCAGGGAAACCCCAACATACCTGAAAACTAACAGAACACTAACAATACTACCAAGAACTAACAATACCACAAGAACCACGAACAATACGAACCGAAACCGGCATGGAAACCCGAGATTCCTCCTGACCCCCGCCTCTGTCCCCGGAACCCCTGACTCCCACTCGCCCGTCCCCCACTCTCCCGGAGGCACCCCCCCTCGAAAGGTTTCTGTGGAACACCCCAGGATGTACACTTGTCAGGCTTCAGTGAACTGAAAAAATGGAAACCAGAACCCCGGAACCCCACCCCCGGAACCCCCCGGAACCCCCGGAACCCCCCGGAACACCCCAACCCCGACCCCCGGACCCCTGGAACCCCCGAACCCCCGGAGCCCCTGGAACCCCCGGAGCCCCCGGAACCCCCGGAACCCCCGGAGCCCCTGGAACCCCCGGAACCCCCGGAACCCCCCGGAGCCCCCGGAACCCCCGGAACCCCGGAACCCCCGGAGCCCCTGGAACCCCCGGAACCCCTGGAACCCCCGGAACCCCTGGAACCCCCGGAACCCCTGGAACCCCCGGAACCCCCGGAACCCCTGGAACCCCCGGAACCCCCGGAACCCCCGGAACCCCCGGAAACCCCCGGAACCCCTGGAACCCCCGGAACCCCCGGAACCCCTGGAACCCCCGGAACCCCTGTAAAACTGGTCAATTAGCAAGAACTCATTGAAAATTAAGTCCTTTCTAAAATTTTCTCTTATACGTTTAAAGATATATTTTTTTCATTAATGTTAATGTAAAAAATTTTAATTTTGCACCAAAAGAATCTTAGAAAACTTACCTAACCATATTATAACAAGAACAATTTATTTTAGGCTAACCCAGCCAAATATATTTTAGATTTGTTTACAATAATTTAATACTAAACAAACAGAGTGAAATATATTTTTTTCGTTAGGTTCAGAATGATTTTGGCGAAATTATTGCATACACAAATTTTCACTTGTCCTATATTTGGCAAGATGAACGTTGCTATTTAAGCCAAGATCGCAAGTTCTGCCTATTCGGCACGACATATATATATATATATATATATATATATAATATATTATATATATATATATATATATATATATATTTATTTATTTATTTATTTATTTAACACGTCGGCCGTCTCCCACCGAGGCAGGGTGACTCAAAAAGAAAGAAAAAGCTTTTGTTATCATTCAACACTTTCACCATCACTTATACACAATCACTGTCTTTGCAGAGGGGTTCAGATACGACAGTTTAGAAGTCCCTCCAAACTGGCAGTATCCCAGACCTCTCCTTAAAGAGGAGGCATTGTACTTCTCATTTCCAGGACCCAAGTCCGGCTAACCGGTTTCCTTGAATCCCTTCACAAAATATTACCCTGCTCACATTACAACAGCTCGTCAGGTCCCAAAAACCATTCGTCTCCATTCACTCCTATCTAACACGTTCATGCACGCATGCTGGAAGTCCAAGCCCCTCGGACACAAAACCTCCTTTACCCTCTCCCTCCAACCTCCTTCCAACATCTTCCCTCCCTCCAATATGACTCAGTGTTCAGCGAGCCACTAATCAGTCTAAAGATAGACAATCCAAACAATTTTTTCATGAATGAGCCTCAAGACCCTGCCAATGTATGCCAGATTTATGACATAACCCTGACTCCACTAGACTTTGAGAAAGAAAATGACGACATGCCCATGCACTCAGCCCCAGACCCAGACTCGTGGAACTCTGTGTTCATTAAGAACTGCAAGAACCCCCTCTCACGGGCCCTAAGTATGCTATGGAGAAGGAGCTTAGACACAGGTGAGATTCCACAGTCACTAAAAACAACAGATATAGCCCCACTCCATAAAGGTGGCAGCAAAGCAGTAGCTAACAACTATTGACCAATAGCTTTAACGTCCCACATCATAAAAATCTTTGAAAGAGTTCTAAGATATGGTCTTGGATGCACTTAGAAACAAACATAATGCAGATGGAGTCTACACAGATTTTGCAAAAGTCTTTGACAAGTGCGATCATGGTGTAATAACACACAGAATGTGTGCTAAAGGGATAACTGGTAAAGTAGGCAGAAGGATCTTCAACTTTCTAACCAATCGAACACAGAGTAGTGGTAAACAGTTAAATCAGAAGCTGCCATAGTGAAGAACTCTGTTCCACAAGGCACAATACTCCCCCCTACCCTGTTCCTCATTATCATATCAGACATAGACAGAGATGTAAACCATAGCACCGTATCATCCTTCGCAAACACTACTAGGATCTGCATGAGAGTGTCATCTATTGAAGACACGGCAAATCTCCAAGCGGATATAAACCAAGTTGTCCAATGGGCAACGGGGAACAATATGATGTTTAATGAAGACAAATTCCAACTACTCACTGGAGCGCAGGCGAGATATATCATAATCTACACCTGGAAGATCCTGGAGGGACTGGTCCCTAACCTGCACACAGAAATCACTCCCTACGAAAGTAAAGACTTGGCAGGCGATGCAACATACCCCTAGTGAAAAGTAGGGGAACCACTGGTACACTAAGAGAAAACACAGTGAGTGTCCGGGGCCCATGACTGTTCAACAGCTTCCCACCAGCCATAAGTGGAATTACCAATAGACCCCTGGTTGTCTTCAAGAGGGAGCTGGACAGATACCTAAAGTCAGTGCCAGATTCGCCGATCTGTGGTTCATACGTTGGACTGCGTGCGTCCGCGGGGGCGGCTGTCAACAGCCGACTGGAAGACTTGGTTTATATCAGCTTGGAGGCTGGCTGTGTTTTCTAAGGCCTCCGGGGGTCAACGCCCCCCGAGGCCTTAGAAATGACACAGTGCTCTGATTTACGCCCTGTCTATGTCAGAAATAAGAATGAGGAAAAGAAGTGGGGCGAGTACAGTGCCTTGAGGGACAATACTTTTCACTGTGTCAGCTTCTGATTTCACTCTGTTTACTACTACTCTTTGTGTTCTGTTTATTTGGAAATTAATTATGTATCTGCCACCTTTCCAATTATTCTTTTTGCTTGCATTTTCTGCCCAATTACCCCACTGTCACACTCAGTGGCGGATCTATATTTTTGGGGGCCCTGAAGCTTGAACTGTTATGTGGGGCCCCCTTCTCATACAATGGACTAAATTGGCTTCTGGAGCCCCTTCGGGATTAGGGGCCCTCAAGCTTGTATTTTACAATAGATCCACTCCTGTCAACTGGTATCTAAGACGTTTAAACCATACCACGGAAGGGGTTAGAACCCACGATCAGAGAGTCATAAAACTCCAGACCGAAGCGCTAGCCACGGTCTGGAGTTTTGTGACTCTCTGACCGCGGGTTCTACACCCACCCGTGGAATGATTTGTTTGCAGTCGTGTCATTACGATTTCGTGAGTCAATCTAAGATATTTGTTACCCACAGGTACCTCAAATGGTTAGCAGTGGCTAACCTGTTGGTATGTGTGGTACTGCTACCCTTCACGCTACACTCCCATGCTACCCCAGTACCCTACCCAGCTGCCATCTACTTCGCTCACGTCGAGGTAAAATAAACTTCAACTGATACTTTTCCTATGTGTATATTACTAATTTAGATTTTCTGTGTATTTTTGAATGTGGTGGATACTTATGTATGTTTTTTTGAGATGTGTTATGACGGCTTGCTAGGCCTTGTGAGCGTGAGTTGTTAGCAGTATTAGAAGACTGAGCATGTGACTGTTTGTGGAGCATGTGACTGTGTTTGTGGAGCATGTGACTGTGTTTGTGGAGCATGTGACTGTTTGTGGAGTATGTGACTGTTTGTGGAGCATGTGACTGTTTGTGGAGCATGTGACTGTGTTTGTGGAGTATGTGACTGTGTTTGTGGAGCATGTGACTGTGTTTGTGGAGTTTGTGACTGTGGAGTATGTGACTGTGTTTGTGGAGTATGTGACTGTGGAGCATGTGACTGTGTTTGTGGAGTATGTGACTGTGTTTGTGGAGTATGTGACTGTTTGTGGAGCATGTGACTGTGTTTGTGGAGTATGTGACTGTGTTTGTGGAGTATGTGACTGTGTTTGTGGAGTATGTGACTGTGTTTGTGGAGTATGTGACTGTTTGTGGAGCATGTGACTGTGTTTGTGGAGCATGTGACTGTGTTTGTGGAGTATGTGACTGTGTTTGTGGAGTATGTGACTGTTTGTGGAGCATGTGACTGTGTTTGTGGAGTATGTGGACTGTTTGTAGAGCATATGACTGTGTTTGTGGAGTATGTGACTGTTTGTAGAGCATGTGACTGTGTTTGTGGAGTATGTGACTGTTTGTAGAGCATGTGACTGTGTTTGTGGAGTATGTGACTGTTTGTGGAGCATGTGACTGTGTTTGTGGAGCATGTGACTGTGTTTGTGGAGTATGTGACTGTGGAGCATGTGACTGTGTTTGTGGAGTATGTAACTGTTTGTGGAGCATGTGACTGTGTTTGTGGAGTATGTGACTGTGTTTGTGGAGTATGTGACTGTTTGTGGAGCATGTGACTGTGTTTGTGGAGTATGTGACTGTTTGTCGAGCATGCGACTGTGTGTAGCATGTGACTGTGTTTGTGGAGTATGTGACTGTTTGTGGAGCATGTGACTGTGTTTGTGGAGTATGTGACTGTTTGTGGAGCATGTGACTGTGTTTGTGGAGTATGTGACTGTTTGTGGAGCATGTGACTGTGTTTGTGGAGCATGTGACTGTGTTTGTGGAGTATGTGACTGTTTGTAGAGCATGTGACTGTGTTTGTGGAGTATGTGACTGTTTGTAGAGCATGTGACTGTGTTTGTGGAGTATGTGACTGTTTGTGGAGCATGTGACTGTGTTTGTGGAGTATGTGACTGTTTGTAGAGCATGTGACTGTGTTTGTGGAGTATGTGACTGTTTGTGGAGCATGTGACTGTGTTTGTGGAGCATGTGACTGTGTTTGTGCAGTATGTGACTATTTGTGGAGTATGTGATTGTGTTTGTGGAGTATGTGACTGTTTGTGGAGCATGTGACTGTGTTTGTGGAGTATGTGACTGTTTGTAGAGCATGTGACTGTGTTTGTGGAGTATGTGACTGTTTGTAGAGCATGTGACTGTGTTTGTGGAGTATGTGACTGTTTGTAGAGCATGTGACTGTTTGTGGAGTATGTGACTGTTTGTGGAGTATGTGATTGTGTTTGTGGAGTATGTGACTGTTTGTGGAGCATGTGACTGTGTTTGTGGAGTATGTGACTGTTTGTGGAGTATGTGACTGTTTGTGGAGCATGTGACTGTGTGTAGCATGTGACTGTGTTTGTGGAGCATGTGACTGTGTTTGTGGAGTATGTGACTGTGGAGCATGTGACTGTGTTTGTGGAGTATGTGACTGTTTGTGGAGCATGTGACTGTGTTTGTGGAGTATGTGACTGTGTTTGTGGAGTATGTGACTGTTTGTGGAGCATGTGACTGTGTTTGTGGAGTATGTGACTGTTTGTCGAGCATGCGACTGTGTGTAGCATGTGACTGTGTTTGTGGAGCATGTGACTGTGTTTGTGGAGTATGTGACTGTTTGTGGAGCATGTGACTGTGTTTGTGGAGTATGTGACTGTTTGTGGAGCATGTGACTGTGTTTGTGGAGTATGTGACTGTGGAGTATGTGACTGTGTTTGTGGAGCATGTGACTGTGTTTGTGGAGTATGTGACTGTGTTTGTGGAGTATGTGACTGTGTTTGTGGAGTATGTGACTGTGTTTGTGGAGTATGTGACTGTGTTTGTGGAGCATGTGACTGTTTGTGGAGCATGTGACTGTTTGTGGAGCATGTGACTGTTTGTGGAGCATGTGACTGTTTGTGGAGCATGTGACTGTTTGTGGAGCATGTGACTGTTTGTGGAGCATGTGACTGTTTGTGGAGCATGTGACTGTTTGTGGAGCATGTGACTGTTTGTGGAGCATGTGACTGTGTGGAGCATGTGACTGTTTGTGGAGCATGTGACTGTGTTTGTGGAGCATGTGACTGTGTTTGTGGAGCATGTGACTGTTTGTGGAGCATGTGACTGTTGTGGAGTATGTGACTGTTTGTGGAGTATGTGACTGTTTGTGGAGTATGTGACTGTTTGTGGAGCATGTGACTGTTTGTGGAGCATGTGACTGTTTGTGGAGTATGTGACTGTTTGTGGAGCATGTGACTATGTTTGTGGAGCATGTGACTGTTTGTGAAGTATGTGACTGTTTATGGAGCATGTGACTGTTTGTGGAGCATGTGACTGCTTGTGAAGTATGTGACTGTTTATGGAGCATGTGACTGTTTGTGAAGTATGTGACTGTTTATGGAGCATGTGACTGTTTATGGAGCATGTGACTGTGGAGTATGTGACTGTTTGTGGAGTATGTGACTGTTTGTGGAGCATGTGACTGTTTGTGGAGCATGTGACTGTGGAGCATGTGACAATGTCTGTGGAGCCCAGGATGCGACCCACACCAGTCGACTAACACCCAGGTACCTACTAGCTAGGTGACCAGGACAACAGGCGTAAAGAAACGCGTCAAAATGTTTCAACCCCGCCGGGAATCGAACCCGGACCCTCAGCGTGTTAAGCGAGAGCTTTGCCAGCAATCCACGGGGGCTGCTGGCGTGGTCACCTACTGTTAGAAAAGCTGTTATTTATTTCCCAGTAACTTTTGTAAATAAAAGTAACTTTTATTTAAATGTAAGTTAATAGAACTGTTACAAGAATTGCATCTCCATATGAGAATCACTGGTTGAGAATCACTGGTTGAGAATCACTGGTTGAGAATCACTGGTTGAGAATCACTGGTTGAGAATCACTGGTTGAGAATCACTGGTTGAGAATCACTGGTTGAGAATCACTGGTTGAGAATCACTGGTTGAGAATCACTGGTTGAGAATCACTGGTTGAGAATTACTGGTTGAGAATTACTGGTTGAGAATAACTGGTTGAGAATCACTGGTTGAGAATCAATGGTTGAGAATCAATGGTTGAGAATCAATGGTTGAGAATCAATGGTTGAGAATCAATGGTTGAGAATCACTGGTTGAGAACCACTGGGTTTAGAATCACTGGTTGAGAATCACTGGTTGAGAACCACTGGTTGAGAATCACTGGTTGAGAATCACTGGTTGAGAATCACTGGTTGAGAATCACTGGTTGAGAACCACTGGTTGAGAACCACTGGTTGAGAATCACTGGTTGAGAACCACTGGTTGAGAACCACTGGTTGAGAACCACTGGTTGAGAACCACTGGTTGAGAATCACTGGTTGAGAATCACTGGTTGAGAACCACTGGTTGAGAACCACTGGTTGAGAACCACTGGTTGAGAATCACTGGTTGAGAATCACTACCCTATATCATACCTTGTACTCTTATTTATCCTCTCTGTCTTAAAATACACTGTATTATTATACATCGTTCAGTTGCATACCCTCACTTTCATTTACCCTTGACACCTCAATCTTACCAACTACTTCCTCCACAATAGTTTTATCCACTTTACCATTTAGGTCCCCTGCCACAATTACTCTCACATGGTTCAAAAGCCCCTAAACACTCACTTAACATCTCCCAAAATCTCTCTCTCTCTCTCTCCTCTACACTCCTATCTTCTCCAGGTGCATAAACACTTATTATAACCCACTTTTCACATCCAGCTTTTATTTTACTCCACATAATCCTTGAATATATACATCTTATGCATTCATGACATTCCTAACTTTTCTCAATATATTCGATATTTCTGGGCTACGCGGTTCGCCTGAGAGTTTTTTTCAAATTGTCACAAATCTTCATAAAAATTCCAATACATTTAATGAAAAAAATCCGAGTATAAGTGGACCCGCGCAGTTCAAGGGTCAACTGTATGTATGCACGCGTGAAGGCCGCCAAAATCCACGACACTTTAGTCCACTAAGCCAAACAATGCTACAGACATCAGACACCCAGTAGCACTGGGCATATTACTTGATGTGAGCTGAGAGTAAGACACATGTGCAACATCTGGGTATCTTTATTGTAGACGTTTCGCCATCCAGTGGCTTTATCAATACAAATTCTAGGACATAACTTGAAGACAGTAGAACTATGTACAGAAGATGAGGTAATCAGTCCCTCAACCTAGGAGTAGGTGCGAACAGCACCATAAAGCCACTGGATGGCGAAACGTCTACAATAAAGATACCCAGATGTTGCACATGTGTTTTACTCTCATCTTGTCGGTATTATATACCATTCGTACACAACCTGATGTGAGCACATATGTGGCTCTGGTGAGCTCAGGACTACTTTCATTCCACTCCTATTTGGAATACAACCTTCACGAGCAGTATACGTAGATATTAATCCATCCACGAACAAGTGGTTCTAAGTAATTACAGTACTGCGATTAGCAGTTAGACTAATGTTATTGCATTATTAATTAGTAGTTAGATTAATTTTATTTTATTAATATTAATAACAGCAACAACAATAGAGTAATAACATAATTAGTATTTAGTGTAGAATTCACCGACAAAAAATTAGGACATGACCACAGATGCACATATGTCTACATTTCATTGTGCACGGTTATTCGCTCTCACAACTGTATGCAACTTGAATCTTAATTGATGTAATGAGAAATTTATAAACATATAATGTCACTTGACAGGTACCACTGGGGAATCCGCCGTTGATAGCCTCTGTTGTACATCGTGTGGGCCTCACATACGCCAGATTCTGGCATGTTGTTAACTCCAGACAATCCGTATACACAGCCTACTCTGCTTCGAGGATCGCTCTATCCTATCGTCATGCTTCAATTATGTCTAATTCCCATGGCTTCCACGGGTGGGACCTCTCTAAGCCTACCCAGGCAGATACGTATTACTCAACTTGCGGTCCATCATATGACCTTTCGTCATCGGAACAACAATAATGATAATAATAATTAGTAATAGTGGTAGAATTACCGACAAAATATTAGGTACATGGACACAGATGCAACTAATGTAACATTTTATTGTAGCAACGTTTCGCTCTCAAGAAACGTTGCAACTGTGTCCATTTATTGATAGTAATGAGAAATATAAAAGTAATGGTCACTTGACAGGTACCATTGGGTAACGCGTTGATAGCCTCTAGTGTGTACATCGTAGTGGGCCTCAGCATCGACAGATTCGTGGCAGTGTGTTACCCAAGGAAATACCGTAACCTACACAGCCACTACGTTGCCTCTCTCAGGATCGCTCTATCCTTCGTCATGGCCTTCATTATGTACATTCCCATGGCGTTCCACAGGGTGGTGATCCCTGCTGCTACTGCCTACCCCGGCAGATACCTCATTGAGGAGAACTTACAGGTGGTCTCTGCCAGATGGTTTCTGGTCTACGAGTACCTGCTGGAGATCTGTGTCAGGTATGTTCATAGATATTTCTAATTTGCAATATCTGCAAACATTTATTGAAAAGTTTATATAGAGTTAAGAAAATAAAAGGGGATATTAATAAGGTCTTGAGGATGTCTCTCCATGAGAGAACCCGCAGTAATGGTTTAAATTAGATAAGTTTAGATTTAAAAAGGACATAGGAAAGTATTGGTTTGGAAATAGGGTAGTTGATGAGTGGAACAGTCTACCTAGTTGGGTTATTGAGGCTAGGACTTTGGGTAGTTTCAAATTTAGGTTGGATTTGAGTGGGACTTGCACATCAGAGCTTATTTCTTGGGTGGCATTGAAAATTGGGTTGGGCAAATGTTTTGTTAGTGGGATGAATTGTAAAGGACCTGCCTTGAATGGGCCAACAGGCCTGCTGCAGTGTTCCTCCTTTCTTATGTTCTTATGTAAGACAGAGCCTAATACCGAGTATGAATGTGAGAATATTTTAGTTTTACCATGGAAATATAAACACAAATCAAGTATAATGTGATCCTTTATTGAACATATTTTCTCCCAAGCATGTGGTTTTTCAAGTCTTGAAAAAACCACTTGTGACGAAACGTATCCATAAAGGAATCACACATAAAATGCATTTGTGTTGTTTTTCCATGTAGGTCGGCATTTATATAAATACAGACCATTTAATTCCCATTGTTTTACTATGCAAAGAATTATTCCTTCATTTCCACAACGAGTTTCTTAATATTACTTTAAGGCTAAAATTGTATATATTATAATATCGTGAAACAAAAAATAATTAAAAAATTCTCCCAAGGAATCGTAGGTTGTGTATACACCATCCCTTGTAAAGGCTGTGATAACTTTTATCTTGAACAAACTGGTAAATCTCTTGAGACTAGAATTCAACAACATAAATATGCAATATCTACTGGATGATAATCCAGTGCTTTGTTCATTCATGTAAGGGATACAGGCCATTGTATAGATAAAAGGGATACAGACCATTATAGATACAAGGGATACAGACCATTGTGTAGATTGGACTAATGCCAAAGAATTACTTCCCTGTAATTCTCCAGTTCAACGAAGTATTGTTGAATCATTTCTTATCAAGCATTAGGCACAACATATTCAATTTGTTCTGGAATGTATAAATTTGACAGTTTTATAGTCCATAATATTGTTCATAATGTAAAAGGTGAAAATATTAATATTTAAAAAAAAAATACAGAGTCTTCTTTGTCAAGCGAACAATTTAACCTGATGCTGGACAAGTGTTTGAGTGAGGTGTGTCACCTCTGTGTGAGGTGTTGTCACCTCTGTGTGAGGTGTTGTCACCTCTGTGTGAGGTGTTGTCACCTCTGTGTGAGGTGTTGTCACTCAGTGTGAGGTTGTTGTCACCTTGAGTGAGGTGTTGTCACCTCTGTGTGAGGTGTGTCACCTCTGTGTGAGGTGTTGTCACCTCTGTGTGAGGTGTTGTCACCTCTGAAGTGAGTGTTGTCACCTCTGAGTGAGGTGTTGTCACCTCTGTGTGAGGTGTTGTCACCTCTTTTGTGAGGTGTTGTCACCTCTGTGTGAGGTGTTGTCACCTCTGAGTGAGGTGTTGTCACCTCTGTGTGAGGTGTTGTCACCTCTGTGTGAGGTGTTGTCACCTCTGTGTGAGGTGTTGTCACCTCTGAGTGAGGTGTGGTCCACTCTGTGTGAGGTGTTGTCACCTCTGTGTGAGGTGTTGTCACCTCTGAGTTGAGGTGTTGTCACCTCTGTGTGAGGTGTGTCACCTCTGTGTGAGGTTGTTGTCACCTCTGAGTGAGGTGTGGTCACCTCTGTGTGAGGTGTTGTCACCTCTGTGTGAGGTGTTGTCACCTCTGAGTGAGGTGTTGTCACCTCTGTGTGAGGTGTTGTCACCTCTGTGTGAGGTGTTGTCACCTCTGGTGAGGTGTTTGTCACCTCTGTGTGAGGTGTTGTCACCTCTGTGTGAGGTGTTGTCACCTCTGTGTGAGGTGTTGTCACCTCTGAGTGAGGTGTGGTCACCTCTGTGTGAGGTGTGGTCACCTCTGAGTGAGGTGTGGTCACCTCTGTGTGAGGTGTGGTCACCTCTGAGTGAGGTGTTGTCACCTCTGTGTGAGGTGTGGTCACCTCTGAGTGAGGTGTGGTCACCTCTGTGTGAGGTGTGGTCACCTCTGAGTGAGGTGTGGTCACCTCTGTGTGAGGTTGTGGTCACCTCTGAGTGAGGTGTTGTCACCTCTGTGTGAGGTGTGGTCACCTCTGAGTGAGGTGTTGTCACCTCTGTGTGAGGTGTTGTCACCTCTGTGTGAGGTGTTGTCACCTCTGTGTGAGGTGTTGTCACCTCTGTGTGAGGTGTTGTCACCTCTGTGTGAGGTGTTGTCACCTCTGTGTGAGGTGTTGTCACCTCTGTGTGAGGTGTTGTCACCTCTGTGTGAGGTGTTGTCACCTCTGAGTGAGGTGTATCCACTGAATTGAATAATACAATACACAACTCAAGAACATAGCAACACCTGTCATGATTTTGTCAGTATACAGTATAGGAAATCTGTACAACAGAAATGCTACCAAAGCAATATTACCATAAAGGTCTCACTGGGTTCTCCAGTATGGAAGTTCCCTACATTATCCTCGAAAGTACAGGAAACGCGGTAATATAAGTCGGTCAACCAACACAGTGTAAGAAAGAGTAACAAGAAATGTCTGCACATATTACCCACACACATTATCTTAGGCTTCCTCTCTGCTAACTGTAGCCAATCACATCTCTTCATTGCATAACGTGATACGGCACAGCCAATAATACTCAACCAACATGTACATAAATATCTGTACGAGGAATGGACCTGTAAGCTACACGTCCTTATCTATGGGACAAGTGCGTTACATGCTAAATAATGAATATCTTATATCATTTAAAAATAGCTTGACATATTATAAACAGCATGGAAAAATAAATATGTATTTATTCCTTGGGCTGACGACGACGGTGTACCGGTCATCTCTCCTGTGTGTGGGTTATTTGTCTATTTCTTGAGGCTCGAGCTTCTGTCTGTCAGTCGTGTCTTCTTGGTTGATTCTAAGATAAAATATATCTTCTCTGCAGGTTTGCCCCGGCGATCCTTCTAGCAGTGTTGAACACCTGGATCATCGTCGAGTTCAAGCGGATCAGCCGACGGCGTCAGCTGTTGTCTAGGGGCTTGAACTGCGAGGTGTCAGCCATACCCTCACAGTCATATTTTGATGGTAACCTCATCAGCACTGTGGTGAATCACTCTCCTGTTATCAGCCGGGGAGAACCCCACCCGTCTGCCACAAAAGCTTTCAACAGTGTTATTACTAATATTGGAACCATAAACAGTGTAGGAACTACCAGTGCTCTCAAAAACACCAGATCTGTTTCTGATATTGAGACTATAAACATTACTTCCCCCAGTATAGGTACTCTCAATGTTGCCAGTAACACCAGTGTCTTTACTTATGCTTCCCATAATGCTACTTCTGATACTGGAGCCAAAAATATTACGTTCTCTAGCTTACAAACTACCAACACTATCCCTGGTATGTGTACAGTGACAACACCAAGCACTGGTATGTGTACAGTGACAACACCAAGCACTGGTATGTGTACAGTGACAACACCAAGCACTGGTATGTGTACAGTGACAACACCAAGCACTGGTATGTGTACAGTGACAACACCAAGCACTGGTATGTGTACAGTGACAACACCAAGCACTGGTATGTGTACAGTGACAACACCAAGCACTGGTATGTGTACAGTGACAACACCAAGCACTGGATGTGTACAGTGGAACACACCAAGCACTGGTATGTGTACAGTGACAACATCAAGCACCACTGACACATATACAGTGACTTCCTTCACTGAAATATCCTCCTTAAGCCAAGAGAGCCGGATGGGACGCTCTCTCAGCTCCAGCAATGGCCGCCTCAGCTGGACAAATATTATGGGTGATAAGGTCCCATACCATGACAGTGCGTATAAGTCGCTACAGAATAGACATGGGGATATGTCCCCAGATCAAGGAAATGGGGATATGTCCCCAGATCAAGGAAATGGGGATAAATCAGCAGTTAGTGATGGGAAGAGAACAAGAACAAGGAATTCGGAAGGCTGGTGTACCTCGACCAGCAGAGAGAGAGTTGAGTTCATTAGTCTATCCACCATCAATCTATCAGGTATGTATATCTACCTCTACCTGGGTGGCGCCTGTTGTGCTCAAGCTCCAGTACTCGTTGTTCTTGTTGCTGTTCTTGTTGTCGTTGTTATTGTTGCTGATGTGGTTCTCGCTGCTGCTGTTGTTATGTTGTTGTTGTTGCTGCTGTTAATGTCGTTGTTAGTTGTTGTCGTTGTTAATTATTGTTGTTGTTGTTGTCGTTGTTGTTGTTCTTTGAGAAGTGTTATCACCCTAGCAAAATGTTATCACAGTGTTATCAGTCACTTTAGCACCATGGTACCATGTTTCCACCATGCAATCACTATGTTATCACCATGTTATCTTGTTATCACCATGTTATCTTGTTATCACCATGTTATCTTATCACCATGTTATCTTATCACCATGTTATCTTATCACCATGTTATCTTATCACCATGTTATCTTATCACCATGTTATCTTATCACCATGTTATCTTATCACCATGTTATCTTGTTATTACCATGTTATCACCTTGTTATCTTGTCATCACCATGTTATCTTGTCATCACCATGTTATCTTGTCATCACCATGTTATCTTATCATGTTATCTTGTTATTACCATGTTATCTTATCACCATGTTATCTTGTCATCACCATGTTATCTTGTCATCACCATGTTATCATGTTATCTTGTTATTACCATGTTATCTTATCACCATGTTATCTTGTCATCACCATGTTATCTTGTCATCACCATGTTATCTTGTCATCACCATGTTATCATGTTATCTTGTTATTACCATGTTATCTTATCACCATGTTATCTTGTTATTACCATGTTATCACCATGTTATCTTGTTATTACCATGTTATCTTATCACCATGTTATCTTGCTATCACCATGTTATCTTGTTATCACCATGTTATCTTCTTATTACCATGTTATCACTATGTTATCACCATGTTATCGCCTTGTTATCACCATGTTATTTTGTTACCACCATTCATTTTTTTACCTATATATTAAATGTTATTATGTTATCCTATTATCACTGTTATCACAAAGGTATCCTCATGTTATCACAGTGTTATCAGTATGTTATCACAGTGTTATCAGTATGCTATCACAGTGTTATCCTCTGTTATGTAGTCAATTTCATATGTTATCATCTCGCTATCGCAAAGGTATCGCCATTTTTATCACCATGTTATCTTGATATCGCCTTTTTTCACCATGTTATCATTTTGCTATCACCATATTATTACCTTTTTTAATTACAATGTGAACATGTTATCACCTTGTTATCACAATGTTATCCCTGTGTTATCACTTCATAATCTTGTTATAACATGTTATCACCTTGCTATCACAATGTTATCCCTGTGTTATCACTTCATAATCTTGTTATCACATGTTATCACCTTGCTATCACAATGTTATCCCTGTGTTATCACTTCATAATCTTGTTATCACATGTTATCACCTTGCTATCACAATGTTATCCCTGTGTTATCATTTTATAATCATGTTATCACATGTTATTACTATGTTATTACTATCTTATCACCTTGTTATCATGTTATCATATCTGATCACGTTACTTTGTTATCAAATTGTTATAACCATGCTATCATGATCATGTTATAAATTTTTATCACCATGCTATCATGTTATCATAATTATGTTATCACATTATGTTATTTCTATGTTATCTCTGTATTAGTACACTATTTTCATTATGCCATTTGTTTAATTGTGTTATCATTGATATCACTGTTGTGTTATCACTGTTATCATGTTATCACCTAGTTATCCCCATGTTATATCATGTTATATATGTTATCCCTATGTTACCATATTCATATTCATATCAATTAATATTATAAAATCATAATAATAACAATAATAGTGATTATTACCTGGAGTTTACCTGGAGAGAGTTTCGGGGGTCAATGCCCCCCCGCGGCCCGGTCTGTGACCAGGCCTCCTGGTGGATCAGCGCCTGGTATAAAATTTTGTGTTTTGTTGCAGTTGAAGGAGAAGGTGTGGCTGGAGGTGTGGCTGGAGGTGTGGCTGGTGGTGTGGCTGGAGGTGCACCTTCACGAGGTATGAGTGAACGACGCCACGACACGGAGAGACGACTGGTTCTCCTCTTGGTCTCCATCATCGTGGCGTTCTTCGTCACCAACATTCCGGCAGCCGTTCTCTCCCTGACCTTCAGCGATGACAAGAGGAACGACCTCAACTACCAGATCTTCCGCGCTGTGGCCAACAATTTGGAGTTCCTCAACTTTGGCCTCAACTTCGTCTTGTATTTCCTCTTCAGCAAGGATATCCGCAATGCCTTCATGGCACTTCTTCGGCAGACGGTTGGGAGCTTCAAGAAGCGCCTTGGAAGAGCTGGCATGAAGTATTCTGCTGATTTATGATGCTCTGGGTGTGTTGCAGTTGCTGATACAGTGATCAGCAGCTGCAGTCTGCAGCCTCTGGTACTGCGGGCCAGCACTGCTGCTAGGCCTACGGTTGCTGCTAGGTCCACAGCTGATCCTGGGTCCACGTGTTCTGCCATGTTTATGGCTGCTGCCGGGACCACGGTTGCTGCCGGGTCCACGGTTGCTGCCGGGTCCACGGTTGCTGCCGGGTCCACGGTTGGTGCCGGTCCACGGTTGCAGCTGAGTCCATGCATTATGTTGGGTTCATGCATGTTGTTGGGTCCGTGCTTGCTGTTGGGTCCGTGCTTGCTGGTGGCTTCATGGTTACTACGTAGAGCCAAGAGCTAGATTTATCACTGTGGTTGTTGGTGGTGGGGAAGAGAGGTATAAAAACCAGCAGGTGTGGTTGCAGTTAGGGCCGGATTAAGGCAAGAGTTTTTGGGGCTGTAGCCCAGGGGCCTCCACCAGCTGGAAGGCCTCCAGGGGCTGCAACCCTGGGGCCTCCACCTGCTAGAAGGCGTCCAGGGGCTGCAACCCTGGGGCCTCCACCAGCTGGAAGGCGTCCAGGGGCTGCAACCTTGGGGCCTCCACCAGCTGAAGGCTTCCAGGGGCTGCAACCTTGGGGCCTCCACCAGCTGGAAGGCCTCCAGGGGCTGCAACCTTGGGGCCTCCAGGGGCTGCAACCCTAGGGCCTCCACCAGCTGGAGGACCTCCAGAGATTAAGTAAAAAGTATTCACAGTAACTGCTGAAGGATTATAATTAGTGTGTTATTACATCACGTATATGATGGACTGTTGACTGTTGTGGTAATTTTTTCCTTTTGAAAATATCACTGACAGCCTCACAGTACCTGTAGCCCAGGGGTCTCACAGTACCTGTAGCCCAGGGGCCTCACAGTACCTGTAGCCCAGGGGCCTCACAGTACCTGTAGCCCAGGGGCCTCACAGTACCTGTAGCCCAGGGGCCTCACAGTACCTGTAGCCCAGGGGCCTCACAGTACCTGTAGCCCAGGGGCCTCACAGTACCTGTAGCCCAGGGGCCTCACAGTACCTGTAGCCCAGGGGCCTCACAGTACCTGTAGCCCAGGGGCCTCACAGTACCTGTAGCCCAGGGGCCTCACAGTACCTGTAGCCCAGGGGCCTCACAGTACCTGTAGCCCAGGGGCCTCACAGTACCTGTAGCCCAGGGCCTCACAGTACCTGTAGCCCAGGGGCCTCACAGTACCTGTAGCCCAGGGGCCTCGCAGTACCTGTAGCCCAGGGGCCTCGCAGTACCTGTAGCCCAGGGGCCTCGCAGTACCTGTAGCCCAGGGGCCTCACAGTACCTGAAGCCCAGGGGCTTCACAGTACCTGTAGCCCAGGGGCCTCACAGTACCTGTAGCCCAGGGGCCTCACAGTACCTGAAGCCCAGGGGCTTCACAGTACCTGTAGCCCAGGGGCCTCACAGTACCTGTAGCCCAGGGGCCTCACAGTACCTGTAGCCCAGGGGCCTCACAGTACCTGTAGCCCAGGGGCCTCACAGTACCTGTAGCCCAGGGGCCTCACAGTACCTGTAGCCCAGGGCCTCACAGTACCTGTAGCCCAGGGGCCTCACAGTACCTGTAGCCCAGGGGCCTCACAGTACCTGTAGCCCAGGGGCCTCACAGTACCTGTAGCCCAGGGGCCTCACAGTACCTGTAGCCCAGGGGCCTCACAGTACCTGAAGCCCAGGGGCTTCACAGTACCTGTAGCCCAGGGGCCTCACAGTACCTGTAGCCCAGGGGCCTCACAGTACCTGTAGCCCAGGGGCCTCACAGTACCTGAAGTCCAGGGGCTTCACAGTACCTGTAGCCCAGGGACCTCACAGTACCTGTAGCTCAGGGGCCTCACAGTACGTGTAGCCCAGGGGCCTCACAGTACCTGTAGCCCAGGGGTCTCACAGTACCTGTAGCCCAGGGGCTTCACAGTACCTGTAGCCCAGGGGCCTCACAGTACCTGTAGCCCAGGGGCCTCACAGTACCTGTAGCCCAGGGGCCTCACAGTACCTGTAGCCCAGGGGCCTCACAGTACCTGTAGCCCAGGGGCCTCACAGTACCTGTAGCCCAGGGGTCTCACAGTACCTGTAGCCCAGGGGCTTCACAGTACCTGTAGCCCAGGGGCCTCACAGTACCTGTAGCCCAGGGGCCTCACAGTACCTGTAGCCCAGGGGCCTCACAGTACCTGTAGCCCAGGGGCCTCACTGTACCTGTAGCCCAGGGGCCTCACAGTACCTGTAGCCCAGGGCCTCACAGTACCTGTAGCCCAGGGGCCTCACAGTACCTGTAGCCCAGGGGCCTCACAGTACCTGTAGCCCAGGGGTCTCACAGTACCTGTAGCTCAGGGGCCTCACAGTACTTGTAGCCCAGGGGTCTCACAGTACCTGTAGCCCAGGGGCCTCACAGTACCTGTAGCCCAGGGACCTCACAGTACCTGTAGCCCAGTGGCCTCACAGTACCTGTAGCCCAGGGACCTCACAGTACCTGCAGCCCAGGGGCCTCACAGTACCTGTAGCCCAGGGACCTCACAGTACCTGTAGCCCAGGGGCCTCACAGTACCTGTAGCCCAGGGGCCTCACAGTACCTGTAGCCCAGGGGCCTCACAGTACCTGTAGCCCAGGGACCTCACAGTTAAGTTAATCCGGCTCTAGTTGCGGTGTGTGGCGTCTGCTAACACTATCCACTGAAGTTGCTCTCTTCTGTTATAACCACTGAGCCTACATCAAGGAATTAATATTAAGAATGAATATTTTACAGACACTACTCATGACCCTTCAACTTTTACCTAGTCAAATGTAATTAATGTTTTTTTTGATGCATTCGGTGACTCAGGGGAGGCGGTTGTACTTGCTAATTTCTTTGGATTAAAATTATTTCTCTCAGTGGCTTCTGAGGCCGTCTTCTGCTTGATGTGAGGTCTTGGGGCATCGCTTATCTTGCTGCGGTTTCAATACAATAGGCTGAATTGTTATAATGGCCATCAGGACAAGAGTCCTGTCACGGGTCTTAATTATTCAACGATCTGTTTTGAGTGATAAGAAAAAATTAGTTGAAGGCGTAATGTCAAGGCGTGTCTGTGTATCTTAAACATTGTATTTGCACTGAGCTCTGAGGAGCTTAGGGAACCTCTGGAGAACTCCGAAAACCTCTGGAGAGCTCCAGAAACCTCTGGAGAGCTCTGGAATCTTCTGGAGAGCTCTGGAAACCTCTGGAGAGCTCTGGAAACCTCTGGAGAGCTCTGGAAACCTCTGGAGAGGGAGGTATTACAATGTCATGTTCAAGTCTTCACTAACTTGGCCAGGGAGAGTTGAAATGAAGGTGTGTAGCCCCATAGCTGTAGCTCAACCCACTGTCATATAATTATATGGGAAGAAATCATTATAAAACGTAATTACAAACTAAAAAATACCCAAAGTTTAAAAATAACACAGGAGATATGCCAGTGCTCAGGTATATCTGCTATGTCTTAGTCATATACTGGAGGGTCCCGATTATACAGCAGGTTAGGTTCCTGGCTACTGCAGGGCCCCGATTATACAGCAGGTTAGGTTCCTGGCTACTGCAGGCCCCGATTATACAGCAGGTTAGGTTCCTGGCTACTGCAGGGCCCCGATTATACAGCAGGTTAGGTTCCTGGCTACTGCAGGGCCCCGATTATACAGCAGGTTAGGTTCCTGGCTACTGCAGGGTCCCGATTATACAGCAGGTTAGGTTCCTGGCTACTGCAGGGCCCCGATTATACAGCAGGTTAGGTTCCTGGCTACTGGAGGGTCCCAATTATACAGCAGGTTAGGTTCCTGGCTACTGCAGGGCCCCGATTATACAGCAGGTTAGGTTCCTGGCTACTGTAGGGCCCCGATTATACAGCAGGTTAGGTTCCTGGCTACTGCAGGGCCCCGATTATACAGCAGGTTAGGTTCCTGGCTACTGCAGGGCCCCGATTATACAGCAGGTTAGGTTCCTGGCTACTGCAGGGCCCCGATTATACAGCAGGTTAGGTTCCTGGCTACTGCAGGGTCCCAATTATACAGCAGGTTAGGTTCCTGGCTACTGCAGGGTCCCAATTATACAGCAGGTTAGGTTCCTGGCTACTGGAGGGTCCCAATTATACAGCAGGTTAGGTTCCTGGCTACTGCAGGGCCCCGATTATACAGCAGGTTAGGTTCCTGGCTACTGTAGGGCCCCGATTATACAGCAGGTTAGGTTCCTGGCTACTGCAGGGCCCCGATTATACAGCAGGTTAGGTTCCTGGCTACTGCAGGGCCCCGATATATACAGCAGGTTAGTTCCTGGCTACTGCAGGGCCCCGATTATACAGCAGGTTAGGTTCCTGGCTACTGTAGGGCCCCAATTATACAGCAGGTTAGGTTCCTGGCTACTGTAGGGCCCCAATTATACAGCAGGTTAGGTTCCTGGCTACTGCAGGGCCCCGATTATACAGCAGGTTAGGTTCCTGGCTACTGTAGGGCCCCGATTATACAGCAGGTTAGGTTCCTGGCTACTGTAGGGCCCCGATTATACAGCAGTTTAGGTTCCAGGCTACTGTACGGTTCCAATTATACAGCAGGTTAAGTTCTGGGCTACCGTAGGGCTCCGATTGTGCAGTAGGTTAGGTTCCGGGCTACTGTAGGGCCCCGATTATACAGCAGGTTAGGTTCTGGGCTACTGTAGGGCCTCGATTATACAGCAGGTCAGGTTCTGGGCTGCTGTAGGGCCCCGATTATACAGCAGGTTAGGTACCGGGCTACTGTAGGGCCTCGATTATACAGCAGGTCAGGTTCCTGGCTACTGTAGGGCCTCGATTATACAGCAGGTTAGGTTCCTGGCTACTGTAGGGCCTCGATTATACAGCAGGTTAGGTTCCTGGCTACTGTAGGGCCTCGATTATACAGCAGGTCAGGTTCTTGGCTACTGTAGGGCCTCGATTATACAGCAGGTCAGGTTCCTGGCTACTGTAGGGCCTCGATTATACAGCAGGTCAGGTTCCTGGCTACTGTAGGGCCTCGATTATACAGCAGGTCAGGTTCCTGGCTACTGTAGGGCCTCGATTATACAGCAGGTCAGGTTCCTGGCTACTGTAGGGCCTCGATTATACAGCAGGTTAGGTTCCTGGCTACTGTAGGGCCTCGATTATACAGCAGGTTAGGTTCCTGGCTACTGTAGGGCCTCGATTATACAGCAGGTCAGGTTCCTGGCTACTGTAGGGCCTCGATTATACAGCAGGTTAGGTTCCTGGCTACTGTAGGGCCTCGATTATACAGCAGGTCAGGTTCCGGGCTACGGCTGTCAAGTGTAAATCTCTGTAAAGTAAAATATAGCGTTTTCTTTTTCAAATATATATAAAAACCCTCACAACATGTTTACACTATCATAAATTAAGCGAACAATAGATCTAGGCCTAAAAAAATGCATGTACAGTACACACATTACTTACCTTAAAATATTTTCGTCCGTAGCTTACAGTAAGTGGTGAATATGTTTATTGTAGGAAGTCTGAATAAAAGACGAAATGCATAATTGAAAACCGCTGTATGAGCGAAACGCTGTAAGACGAAGCACTGTAAAACGAAGCGCTGTAAATTCGGGTCCGCCTGTATATAGACTTCTTAAAGCTCCGAGGACAAGGCCTTGTGGTTTGGTTTAGCGCTTCTGCTTTTTGATTATAGTAATAATTCGAGGACAAGCCATTAAGCCATGGACGCTGGTTCAGTCCCCAGTGTTCCACACATAACATCCTGTTGACACTAATATGATAAGAACTCCATTCGTTTGAATCAAATATCGATCCTTTCAAGACGTGTGTGGGTCTCTGTGGGATATATGACCTGGGGAATATTTATATATGGGCCGTAATTGTATTTATTACCTTTTATTGCTTCATAAGTGTTTATATGGCCCT